GGATGCATGGGCCGCTGTGGAGCTCGTGGTTAGTGTGCCGGTGATATCCTCCTCAGGACCATATGGGGTCTGATCTCCTGTGGGCTCATCCGTGGGCACATCCTTGGCTCTCCCTGTCATACTTACATCACATATAGGTCAGGGTCTTGTCACAACGGCGATGTTCACACTGCAAGTCTTAGTACTTCATTATTTTTTTTATTATTATTTTTTTTTATGTCTACTTTTGCCTGCATTCCGAACATTTAATATGGTCATGAAGAAAAAAGTTGTTGACAATATTTCAGCAATCATGTCTTGTGTTTTCTATCAGCTGTTAAGAATTGGAACACTTTGATTCACTTTGATTCATTAAGACAGTTCACTTATGCACTGAATAGTTTCCAGTGGTTTCTCACATTGAATTTCTCACATTGAAGCTTTATAAGACAGAAAACAAAAAGAGTTCTAGATGAGGTTAATATAATCCATTTTAAGAAACAAAGGCCTGGTTTCACAGACAGGGCTTAGACTAAGCCAGGCCATAGTTCAAGTAGGACATTTAAGTAATTTTTATAAACATGCCTTAGAAAAAAAAAAAAACATTCCTGGTGTGCATCTTGAGACAAAAGAAGGGCACTGACATATTTTAAGATCAATCAGTGCAAGTTTCTTTCAGTTGAAACAGCTCAGACTTAAGCCTTGTCTGTGAAACCGGGGGAAAATGTCTTCTATCATTTGTCAGCAATAAAGCAGATCTTTATTGCGGATTCAGCTTGTGAATGACTACACTGCAGGTAAAAAAAAAATTACTGATATCCTTATATCCATAACATTATTAAATAATAATAATAATAATAATAAAATATTTAAAAAAAAAATTGATAGGGGGCCTGATAAATGATAAACGTCCTTGAAGTGGCAAAACATTCTAAGTGGTTTGTGCTGTTCACATGGATATGGGAGAAAGTAAATAAATAAAATCAATCAATCAATAACAAAAAATACAAAAAATATAAAACAGATTTATTCCACTTTTGCCTGCAGTCTGACTGTATCCAGCTATGCACATGAGGTGTGTGTTCAAGATGGCCATGAAGAAAAAAGTGTCCTGTGAGGTGATATATAAAATGCTTTTGTTTCTGAATTTCATTTTGTTTGTTTGTTTGTTTATTTATTTATTTTGTATATAAGCACTCTGTGATCTATGCTTGATTAATTAAACTACATTATATTCCATGCAGTTTGTGCATATGGCTGTAGGCATTTTACAAGTTTAGAAGTCACATTTGGAGCTCCTCTTGGTTCCCACATAGGAAATGGCAAGGATGCTGGGGTTGTTGAGAGGGGCCACAGTTTGGGTTAAAGGTAGCATACACCAGGGCAGCTGCAAAATCTGCCCTGCCAAGGACGCAGTGCTTCCAAAGCCTGCTCTGTGCCATTAAATGGGTCATTGACCAGCTAAATGGAGTCATTATGATGAGTAACTAAAAGAATAGCACCCAAATCCATGAACCTCGTCTCTGCGGAGCTCTGGGTTCCGCCGCTTTTGAGGTTTCACAGGCTTTTGCTGTATAAAAGCTGCCTGAGACCGACCTCTTTCAGGGGTATGCAAATGATGCCCTGACCAGCTAATCATACCACATCAACAGTCCCCTGCTTTATTGACAGTTGCAGTGCTTGATATTTTCATGTGAAATTCTATTTTTTAAATTTTTTTAGCTAACTGTGTTAATGCTAGCAGGCTTGATATTAGCAAACGAAAGCTAATCATAGGTGGAAGAGTCAGGAACTCTGAAATGATTGTATTTAGGTATTTACAGTAAGTGTTTATAATATTGATTATTATAAGTGATTGTATAGTGTAACAACAATAAAAGCTGGTGGCTAATCACAATTGCTTATGCTAGACATTTAAATCCAATATGTTTTAGTACCCTTGCACTGCTAGATATATAAGAATTCGTGAAGTGTGAAATGTGAGTCAACAAGTCAACTAATAAGTATAAAGTACTAATTAAAAGCAGCACAAACATCATTTGTAATGCTTATTAGTGCTGTGTTATTGAGAAATGGTATACATAAATATATATTTACAGGATATTTACAGACTCAAGAATACAAAATAACTGTTGATTTTACTGTTTTAATGGTCATTCTCTTATAAAAAAGAAGTACACTTAAGTGTACTTTTGAAATGAGTAATAATTACAGAAATAATGTACTTTAAACAAATAAACTTAGATGCAAACAGAATTAAACTTTTTACGACACTTAATTGCATGTTAATTCCAATTAAATGAAAATAAAATACAATTATTTAAATTTACATTAAATGCAATTAGCTGAACTTTAGAGTGTTTTTTTGACCCATTAAGTAAGGATTTTTTTTTTTTGTTATTTTATAATTACTCTTTTCTTTGAATTAATACCTGTACTGCGAAAAAATTTAAAAAAGTTAACAGTTAAAATTATATTCAAATTCTTTACATATGCTTTAGTATACTCAAAATAAGTGTACTTTAAAGTATGACAAAAGATCAAAACATTATTAAAAATGCACTTTAAGGTAAAACATTTAATGTGACATTATAACAAGGTGCACTTTTTAAAAGTGCACTTACATGTGTTAATAAACATAGTCATGAAAGTGTACTCTCTTTATATACACATAAATGGCCTTACTATTATATTCACTCATCTTCATTTTCTGTGTCATAATGTCATTCAGATTGACGTCACATTAAGAATGAATTTCTGACTGTTATTCTGAATTAAAGCACTGGTTCAAGTCTTCTCAGCAGAACAGCGTGAAAACTCTGTAATGCAAATTATGATTACAGACCTATTCAAATTCCTGGGTACTCATATTTACAGCATTTTAAACTCAACACAGACCTCCTCATCAGAAAGGCACATCAAAGACATCCTCAGACGGATTCAGTCAGCATCTTCTAGTCCAATTTTACTCTGCTGTTGTGAAAAGGATTCTGACATTGTCCATCAGTGTGTGGAATGGCAGTGCTGACTTCCTAACCACAAAAAAAACTAACAAAAAAACGCCAGGAATCGTCACTATAGCCTCAAAGGTCACAGGCACTGATCTTCCCTCAGCCAAATCCCTGCACCTCCAACACACTGCACAAATACTGAAAAGCCCCCATCTCACCCAGAACACAACTTGTTTCTGCTGCTCCCCTCAGGCAGATGCTGGAGACCACCATCAGGCGAAACATTCCCATTAAAAAACAAGCTGTCAGACTGCTCAATAAACATTTGTACAGTAACTCTATTACTCCTCTGATACATGCTGTGGTCCATGTTTACTTTGCACATCAATGGTGTCATACACTTTGAGGAATATTTAAATTGCCACGCTGAAATCAGACGTATCTATCTGTTAATCAGATTGCGTATTGTATATTGTACATTACACATTAAATACAGTAATGCCAGAGTTATTTTTGTAGCATTTATAATGCTATTATAATATTTATTAATATTTTGAAGTATATTTTATTGTTATATTTTCAGTTTTCATTTTAATTTTTGTAGTTTAGTAATCAATTTTAGTAACTGTATTATGTGCTTTTGTCAGTTATATATATATATATATATTTTTATATTTCTGTTAACTTCAACTTAATTTCAGTTTTTGTTTTAGTCATTTTAGTTACTCAACTTAAACTTAAATATTCAGCTTTACCAAAAAGATTTTTAATTATAGTGTTTATTCATATTTTGAATTATATTCATAACTATATTCATAGTATATCTATATAGTATATTTATATTTATAGTTTTCTTTTTAAGTATAATAAATAATAATTTTATTATGTGCTTTTGTCAGTTATATTAGTTTTAGTTTTTTTATTTATTTATATTACCATTAATTTATTTATTTTTATTTAAGTTTTGTTTTAGTACTTATTTATTTCAGTTACATGCCAAGGCAACATTTCTAATTTTCGTTTTACCGTTTTTCGTCTAATATTTATGTTTTAATTTATGTCAGGTTTAACAACAATGATTTTGAATAGTTTTAGTTTTAGTTAACAATGCATACTTGCATATTATGTCACCTTGGAATTATAAGCTTCTGTCTGCATTCTGAGCAGTTTCGAGATATTGAGCTTCAAAGTTTCTGCATTCCATATAGTGATATGGGGAACAAGTCTCTTTCATACATCAGTCCCAACAACATCACATCATGTAAATAAGTTGTCACAGAATAAGTGTGAATATGTGAATTTTTGACAAAAATGGCAGATGGAACCTTATAATCCCAAGGTAACGATTAGCATTCTGTCTCTTGTTTGTCTTGAAGCTGTACCTAAATTGTACTTGTACTCAGGCTACTGTCTCATTCTGTTCTAATATAATACCCGTTGAAATCTAAAACTCAAACCTTATTCCTGTAGACTGTTTTCCCATTTCCGTAGCTAATTGTCTTTTTGTTAGAATCTTTACATTGCTGTGCCGAACATTCATTAGGACGCTGGGTGGATGTGCAAGGAGCTCTCAGAAAAAGACATACTGAATTAATGGAGTGTTAATAATCTCTAACTCATTAGTGTCATCTTATTTGCATAGCATATCATTGCATCTTTTGAGCAGTGAATATTAATTTCTAAAGGCATGAAGTATTGCAAGATATAAATAGAGGAATTATCCATGGGTAAACCACCCATCATAAAAAAGTCAAAGCACTGAAAAGCTGCTATGTGATATTGTCTCATATGCTCATATGCTTCTTTTTAGGCAAGTCAGGAGATATAGCACTAATAGGCTAGGACATTCATGGCTGCTTGACTATTAATATTAATTTATTTTTTGTCAGTTTAAAAAGGTTATTAAATGCTTTGCATAATGAAAGTTCATCTCACTTGTTGCATTTTTGTTTTGATGTCTAAGGCAAAGTCATTGCTCGTACACATTCTAATGTGCAAAGTGACGTCACTCCTGTGTGTATGTGAATGTGAAAATGAGCCTCTAATTAGTTTTCTCCTTTTCTCTTACAGGGACAGGCCAGCTACTGATGGTGGATCTCAGACATGCATGTGATCACTAGACAGTTTAACCGGGGTAAGTCCTCTTTGGAATGCCTCCATGACCTGAATAGTGGCACGGTGAGAGGCTGCTCTAAAGCCCCAGTGTCCTCCTCTCTGATTGGATCCGCCCCTTTTTAAACTGCCACTGTGAGCGTTAAGACTTCACATTCAGTTATCGCTCTGATTTCTGTAGAAGCTTTCAGACACTGAATGAACATATACCCATGTTTGAAGTATGATAACATATGATTTCAGTTTGTTTCTCCTTCAGTTGTAGTTCTGTCTGCTGGTCAAATTAAATTAGTTACATAATGTTCTGAGTAAATAAGCAAAATAATTGCATAAATCAGTGTTTGCCTAGACAAACCTTCAAGTGACTGTGATTCAAAGACATTACATTATTGTGGCAGATGAGTACAGCATTGAATAGACATTACAAAAAGTGGCTTTGGAGTCAGTCTGCTGTTTGTTTTATTTCCGTATCACTGAATATCAGTCTATCAGTCACCTAATATCCACAGAAATCAATGTTGCAACCAAGTTTGTTGTTTATTCCAGGGTAGACTAGGGGTTGTTCACACAGGATGTGTTCTTGGACTATTTTTTAATTGTTTGCCTATGCATACATGGCTGTTGGTGCACATCATACTGTTTTTCAGTGTCTAGGACCATTGACTCCATGTTTTTAAGACGCCGTGTCAAGTTAAAATGAGTTTAATTCTGTTTTGTTCTGTTGACTGCTTTACATTTTGGTGGTACTTCATGCTTCAATTGCTCTGATGGTAGGAAAATTGATTATTACAAAATGTACAAATGGGGCAGGGGTCATTAATTAATTAAATATCATTAATTGTTCCAAATTGATGTGCTAAATTGACAGCCGTAATCATTTAATTTATTAAGACTTGTAAAAGAACAATTGATGATAATTATTATTATTATTTTTATTTTTTTGGTCAAAAGCTTCAAAAAAGCACCTGGATATAACGTGTCATGCTGTTTAAAAATTCATGATTTTCAAAAGATAAAGGCTATCATCAGACCTTTCAGTGCCTCATAAAAAGTTAAAAATAAACGAGTGCCATGATAGTATTCCAAAGCCACATAGAGGACCTTGAAAGTCTCAGATCTATTTTCATTCATGTTTTAATCATCTTTGTCAGTTACACTTTAATTATAATCACAGGCTGGATCTACAGCTGACAGCCTCTGTCCTCGTCTAGAGATCGATGACGTGGATGTCTACAGAAACCATTATGACAACTTAATTTTAGTAAGAACTGGCCGATCCTTTGATGTGTCCTTATAAATCACATTAAGTGGCAAATATGAAAGAGCTTTAATATTTGATCATAGTGAATGGCTCAGGCAGTTTAATTTGCTTAGTTCTTATGGATGTTCCTCTAGACACCATTCACTTGCACCGTTTTGCCTCCAAGGCTATTTTCTGACAGCAGCAGCCACGTGTGTTGCCTTCTTGCATGAATCTGTCCGTTGAGTCTTGGTGCATTCATTCTAGTTCACACTGGCTGATGCAACCCAGACTGTCAGTGGGGCAATGCCAAAGAGATTAGATGCTGCTTTACTCTGCTTGTCTTCACAGGGGAGAGAAATGAGCGTGGACAATCCTCCAAATATGCACCAATTCATTAGCAGCCTTCCATTCTCTATACTGCTTATCCTTTGTAGGGCTGCGGGACAATTAATTAAACATGTAAATGAATGAGAACAATGCAAATACTTGAAATAATATTCCAGGTTCAGTACAAGTTAAGCTCAGTCAACAGCATTTGTGGCATAATGTTATTTACCACAAAAAGTCATTTAGACTTATTCTGTTTCTTAAAAAAAAAAAATATATATATATGGGGCTCCTCTTACGGTTCTACGTAGCACCATTTGAGAGGTGAAGTGGTACCCCTATGATTACGAGCCAATGAACCACTTTTAGTGCTATTTAGCAGCATTGTTTTAGAGTGCATGTATATATATATATAAAATATGAGATTATACATCCATAGCAAGTGCCTCACTGTAATCGAGGTCTTTGCTTTTTTTTTAAGAAAAAATGAAGGGAGAAATCAGAATTATTTATTTCATTAATCATTATGCCTGAAATACTGTTGAAAATTAACTTAATATTTATTTACATTTTAAGGAAACTGTCACGGTGCGTGCGGGGAGATGAAGCGAGGACTCATGTGCAGGAGAAATGGTTATTTTAGTAAAAAATGAAATGAAAACAAACTCAAACCACCCCGAGGGGGAAAAACAGACAGGCAGGCCTAAAGCTGCATCACATGCAAACACGAAACACACACAATGAGAAATGACGGATCAGCACAGGATGACAGACACCAGGAGAATAAATAGGAACCAAATGAGGAGGCTAACGAGGGAGACACAGGTGGAGCAACTTAAACAATAACGAGGTAACAAGATGGGAGGGGCAAGACAATAGACAGGAGAGAGCACATGGCA